CACCACCACTGCAGTGGTAGATGTCCCCAATCTGCTGGAAGTTAACTCTGGCCTGAAACCTACACGACATCTGTCCCACAAATCCACTGAAACACCCCCAGGAAAGACTGTCTGGATAAAAGGCTGGTTCTGAGATTTCTTATCATATCCAGTCAGTGTCAGGCCACAGGGAGACTACGTTGCTGGGAGCAGATGTGCAGAGCGACTACTTTCAATCAAGATGTTGCTTCAGAGAAACATGCTGTGTGTTTGAATGACTCAACTGTTACAGCAGGCTGAAGGCTTTTATCTCTGCTATAGGAAAGGCTCCTCCACAGTGCAACCTAGACATTTCGGCTGGTAGAATGCCTACTACAGCTATGCAGTCCACCTGAATTCTCAATGAACCAGAGACCAGCTCCTTTTAAAGGTGATATTTGACTGGGTCATCATCCCCTGGGGCATGCTATCAATGGACGGTTCAATCTAAAGCACATCAGTGATATACTCCAGGCAGTTACAGTCCAGTGCTATACCATTTGGTAAAGATCTGCCTTGGGCTTCGCCCTTTTAAAGTTGACTCGCAATAGAAAACGTTTCTACCATTGACTCCATCCTCCCACTGACTTGTCATTGAGTTTTAATGTATCTAGTGTTTGTTTAACTGCAGGACTTGGTGTCTGAGCTGCATCAAGCTCTGGTAGCAGGCAGGACCCTGACATGATCCCACCCTTATCCCAGCTGGAGGAGAGGCAGCTGGATCAAGGGGCTTAAGAACATGGCTCTGGTGGAAGGGCTGGGCTAAGGAGGATCAGGAAGGCATGGCCAGAGACACACAGTATCGGTAAGCCGTTTGGTCAGTGGCTTTCCATAGCTGTGGAGAACACTGCTCAAGGGTAACCTTGAGCTGAAGGACACATTCCCAACGACCTACTTTACAGATCTGTTTGGATAGAAGTGATGCGAGGGTTGGCTTATAAACTGCAGGTTTGATGGGTTTAACCGTCGGTCAGCTGAGTTTGGGTCGAGACCGGGTGGTCTGGATGGATGTGGTTTGATCTGATGAATCTGCTGGTGGCTCTCCTAGCAGGTGTGTATTAACAAAACGGCCTTGAGTGAACAGGCTTGGCTGCCAATCAACGGTACACATAAACTCATATTGTTATCTCTGTATGGTAGACCCCCCCCCCCCCCCCCCCCGCCTTTTTAAGGACCTATACTAGTTAGTTTAAATCAGGGGTCATTGCCAGACACAACTGCCTCACAATATCTTTTTATGGGGCTCCTTCTACACTGTAGCCATGATAAGGGAAGGTCATAGAGAGAAGCAGCTCTTTGAAGTGTTTTCTCTGAGGCCCTCTCTCATTTCTATTGTGACTGTTTTATTATTGAAGACCCTGGTAAGTGGGGCACAGTGTGAGAGAGGGTCTCGAAACTAAGCCTGTTGGAACTTGGGATGTTGTTAATCGCCCCCAGCCCTTGGAAAATAAACAAGTGCACAAACCCACCAACACACACACAGTCTCTGTCTGACTCTGAACCCCTGGTGGTTGCATGCAGGGCAAGTGCGATTTAAATATTTACAGCGCGACCCAGCAGCCACTAGGCCAACCCAGAGTCTTGTCACCGCCCGTCCCCCTGCACCCAGTCAGAGTGGGCACAGAGATAACCAACCACAGCAACACTTTCTCTGTCCTTGGCCATTGTTTGCATATGTCTGCAGCGCCACTGAAATACTTAAGTGTACAGGGCTCAGACAAAAGACTGTTTGTAAGAGGATTAGAGCGCTGCTCACGGGAATACACAGGCTTATTTTTAGGATTTAGGCTATATATTTTTCTTTTTTGGCCAGCAGCCGGTTGGATTCCGTCTTCATCACCAAGCCAGTGCAGTTTAACATTTCGGCCATGTGGTCGGGTCCTCGTGTGGGGGGCGCTCTTTCTAGTCAGGCATTTACAGAGGAGGACTGGCAGATCGTCAGGGAGGGAGAGAAATGCCTGGCTATTTTTCCGAGTGTGTTGCAACACAAAGGCAGCTCTTCAGAGACTGTTGCTAGCTCACAGACAACCTTTTATAAAGACCAGAAACACACAGATACGCCAGACAGTTCATGCACTAGACTCATAAAAGTTGTCCTCTAACTTGAGAATGTTGAAACAACGCAAAACAAATGGTATTCATGCTACTTTGGGCACAGACCTCACCAACTCTCTATTATGAAGTGCCAAGACTACTGGCTCATCTCGTGCCGTAGATGCCCCCATTCAAATTCACCCAGTCCCATGGGCTTGTTTGTCCTAGTTCAGCCCAGTATGTGACTCCACTACTAGAGTCCATCTCAAGGGAGTAGCAGGAAAGGGGAAGGAAGGCTGTGGTTTCAGTGGTTTGCTGTTGCTTCTTTATTAAACTCCAGTTGTAGAAGTAGCCCTCAGAATCAGATCACTCTGTGTCTTTCAGTTCCTCATGGTAGGAGTGATTTGGAGTCCTAAGCACAGCGTGAGGCAGAACCGATTGGGAGCTAATACAGAGCGATGATCATTGTTCACCGGAGGAGGAGGATTGCCCTTGAGGTGTGTCCCTCCCCTCTCTTAACCAGGCCTCTTAGTGGCTAACCTGCAGGATGAGAGATGAGGAAAGGACTTTGGGTGGTTTATCTCTGTCTGTAGTGTGACCTGCCTTTCCCTGTGTGTCACAGCTGACAGAGGGCCCTATCACAGCAGGCCCAGGCTGTGCATCATCGATATGTTTCCCCCCAGTGAATCCTTCCTCTTCTATACTCACTGGGGAATCACCCAACTGCCTGCGTCTCTCTTCTCCTTCCTCAAAGAGCCGTGCAGGCCAGGGAAATGCACCAGACAATCGCTCGGACAAATCGAATCAAAGCCCCCAAAGGCATTATTTAACGAGAGTGCTTTTAACAAAGAGCGCTCTGTACAGGGTCCCTCCACCGCATATGTGTACTGGAAAGCCTAACAACCTGCAGCAGCGTAGCCCCAGCCAGACAGATGTGTACTGGAAAGCCTAACAACCTGCAGCAGCGTAGCCCCAGCCAGACAGATGTGTACTGGAAAGCCTAACAACCTGCAGCAGCGTAGCCCCAGCCAGACAGATGTGTACTGGAAAGCCTAACAACCTGCAGCAGCGTAGCCCCAGCCAGACAGATGTGTACTGGAAAGCCTAACAACCTGCAGCAGCGTAGCCCCAGCCAGACAGATGTGTGAATGAACGCCTCAGTGTGTCAGCGTTCACACCACCAGCGAGAAGCACGGTGAGAAGAACAGTATGTGTTGCGAGCCACACAGTACCACTCTTCTTTTTAATTGTTGTTGGTATGATCTTGTTCAGTCTCTGAGCTGTACACATCTAAGTCTTTGGCATTGCTCTACTACCATGCTCTTTAGGGACTAGGCCAGTGTAATTCATTTACAGGATGTAAGAATGTGAACATATCAGTATCCGACGCTTACAGCATGGTGGGGGGGGGGTTGTAATACCCCCCACCTGCATGTATGGTGGTACCCCCTTGGCTTAGCACCCCAGGCCTACTGACTCTGTGGGGGTCAATCTGAGACAGGCTCATTGTATCAAATACGGCTCGGTCTGCCCTCCACTTCTGCATGGCTGCAGAGGGGCTGAGCTCCAGGGCTCCCTCCCCTCCCTGCCCACTCTCACCACATCACACACATCACCCGTCACACCCCCTGACTGCAGAGGAGGGCTGTGTTGTCTGGTGATGTGTTCTCTCCTTCATCCCGCCCCCTCCTCGTCTTCTTCATTATGTTTGGGATCAGTGTTTCTGTTTTAGAAATGGCTGCTTGGATGTTTACGTGTTGGGTGAGAGTTATGTGAGTCTGCTCTCGACTGTTTAAGGGTCTGATTAGGCAATGGCCATTTGGACAATAGTAAAGCAAGAATTTTGGCATCCTGTAAATCCTTGGAAATGCCTTTGCAATATGTGTTGAAGAGTGTCTTGGCATCCATTTTGAGAGTGTGAGCCTGCCGTGTGTGTGTGTGTCAGACACGTAGGGCTGTGAGTCATAAAGGGCCGGGTTAGCTGTGGACTGTCTGTCGGAGGTGGTTGCGGTGGTGGTGGGGGGTTCATTCTAAACCGGAAACGCAGAGGAACAAACAGCACGCTGCAGTGACCATCTCAGGTCTTTACTTCCTCCTTCTGCCCCCACCTAATGACCCACATGGCTGTATAACTCACCAGCCTCCACTGCAGGGTATCTCAGGCCACACACATGCACACATTTGACTTTGCTTTAAGAGACCTTTCCTGAGACTGGGAGCATGACTCCTCCTCCAGAGGCAGGAAGTTGGGTGCTGTTTGCACGTGGGGGGGGGGTGTCGTTTTTCACATTCCTTCACTTTAGAACAAACAAACACATCCAGGACACAAATGTTGTGAAAGGATGTGGGATTGTAATTTTTAAGATGCAGGCAATTTTTGGAACAAACGTTTCCGTGTGAGAAAGACATGTGTCCCCCCCCCCCCCCCATGTGTTTAAAAAAATAATAATTGTGGTTTGTGTGTGCGCACGCGGGGGGTGCACTTGGTAAGCTGTTACATCATCGCCACGGTGACAGGCAGTTAAATGCGTTGCCTTATAAGGCAACGAAGTGCGAGAGGCAGGCAACGACAGGAAGAGGCAGTTAATGTGACAATGCTGTCTACTGGGCCAGCCTGTCTTTTTCGTTTGGTCACATTTTCTCAGGCTCGTGCTCGCTCTCTTTCCCTCTCTCTCTCATCCACCTTGGATTTTGTTCCTGCCTTTCAAAGGCTTTCTACACATAGCCCTCACCTTCCCCTCTGTCACGTTCTGGTTTTCATCTTGATCTTAAAGCCTTTGCCTGACTTAATGTTAATGAGAAAGGTATTTATGATTGATTATTCCACTGCCATAAGGCTTTGGTCTTAACCTATTTTTATCTTTCATAAAATGGGCTGTGGAATCCATAGAGCATTCATGTTTCATAGATTCTGATCTTGCAGACCAGGCTGACTATCACTTAAAGAGATGACTCCAGGCTGCGCTATTGCAGAGGCTGTTTTAGACATCTCATCTGGCTCTGAGAACCTCCACGGAGGAGGATATGACAGATTTGGAGCAGATGAGGTGCAGACTACTGAGGCCGGAGCTACACCCTCCAGCCCCAGTGGGAATGTCTGGAATAAAGCAGAGATGTCACGCTCCCTTTCTCTCTCTCTCTCTCCCACCATCACTGTGAAATGAGTCCCAAGGATGATTACCTAAGCATGTTCAGCTGGGCGCAAATGCCAGCATTCCCACCGAACATTTCTTCTTGTTCTTACATTAACGTGATGTTGGAGACATGAAGTTAAGACTGTTGCCTGCCATTCACAAATTCCTTTGTCTAATGACGGTGGTCATTTCAGCTACACCCATTTGATTTGAGGAAATGACTATCCTCCCCCATATTCCTGTCTTTGAACAAATGGCTCATTGGTACTCCAGTCCAGGCTCAACGTTGAGATGTCTGGGACAAGGGCAGCAACAAGTTCACAGGAACCTGTTAGAAATGTGCTGTCGCTTGGCCACACACAGTGAGAAGTCAAGCAGACGGCTTTACTGATGGTGTGGGCTTCTGGTGTGGGCCAATGAGGTGGAGGTGGTTTTACCAACCAAGCACCCTGTTTGGTTACAGTGAGTCTGTGGATTAAGTTTGAAATACCTCACGCCTGGTTGAGTACAGTGAGAACTACCGGCTTGACCAACGTCCTACTAATAGTTTGAGTAAGAAGTCTACATGGGTTGATTCCCACGCATGTGGTTGCTGCTCAGATGACCACAGTTGCCTTGTTTCGGATGCTTGCGGTTGCTCTATTCGCTCCTCAGCTGTGCTTTTACTGTCCTACACTTGTTGTTTCTCTTTGTGACGGCTTCCCCTTTCAATGGCCAGGCAGAGAAGGTCAGCAGCCACTCTGTTTTGGACTGCTTCTCGCTCTGGTAAGCCCCTACAGAGAAGGAGATGCTGTGGCTTAGTGCAGAGGCTATCAGGAAATAATATATTTACACTGTCTGTCTCTTTCATAACATTACTCAAATAGTGTTGTCTGTTCAAGGCATTTTTTTATTACCAGAAAACACAACTCAGTTCTCATAGATTCGATTAGCAAAAAATGCAATAGTAGTTTGAGTGATGGAAGAAACTATGGGTGGAACCACACCCTTAAGTTGTGACCCCCCCATCCTCCCATCCATTGTTTAGCCCACAGTAGGGTAAACCTGCAGAGCTGGATGTATTATGTGGAAAGGCTGTGTCATCATTATGGTGACCAGCCCCATTGATGCTGTTCTCGATCACCGCTTACTCATAGAGGCTGCAGGAAATTCAGACTGATCTAAGCCATATCAAAGCATCTGTTGGGTGACTTGTCTCACAGTACAAATCCTCCCTGTTTGGCAGCATTTGACAGATATTCCTCCAACCCAGCACAAACTGAGACATACATATCCCTAAAATGATGCAATTACTTCATCAAGGCCTATACAAAGGGTTAACAATGATATCTGCCAATCCCTCTCTGGGGCTGCCAGATTGTGACTAACTCACAGAGCCATGTAATGACATCAGCTTATTTTGTTATTGGCTGAACTGCTGCTTTGTTATTAAAGGTCAAAAAGTGGCGAAAGAGCTTCTGGAAAGCAAATAAATGTCTTTGAGGGTGGCTGAAGTCTGGAATATGTAACTCGCTCAAAGGTCTCGTAGTACAACAGCAAACTCTGAAGGTCATTTCTCATTTCAACCAATTTCTTTCCATGCCTTAATAGTCAAGTTCCATTTTGATCCTCTGATTTGTATTTCATTGTCATACATGCAGTTTTATGACTACTAACAGATACAGAATAGTACAAACGGATGAAGAATCCTTTCCATAAATCATGGATAATCAGAATGTGTGGGCCACAGACTATGGTCTGGATGTGCCCCATAGAGGTCTGTTAGCATGCCTCCATTGTGTGGGATTCAATGCTTGTGTTTCCAGGCGTTGGCCTCGAACTGGGACGTGACTGAAAGGGATCCTTATCTCATGTTTGACGCCCCACAATGCCATTTTAAGAATCTGGATAAGGCACAATCCTTAAGAGCTCGCCTCTTCATAGGGGTGGAGGGTTTGAGACGGAAGAAAACTCTTTAATCAAATTGTCCATTTATTTCCATACCTCCTGTCATGCCCCCTACATTTAACATGTGAACCTTGCCACAGTATCTCTCTCTATCTGACCTGTGATTTATTTAGGCTATGTGTTTAATAGGTGTCCATGTCATAGTTGAGTCTGGAATGTGAGTTGGTAGCTTTAAGGAGGTTTAAATGGGAAAGGCCCAGTCTTCCCCAAAGCCAACTGCCAAAAGGATGAGGCCTGGAGCACTCTATTTAGTCTGCACACTCTAATCTCCTTTCCTGACGGGCTGGGTTCGTTTACATTTGGCATTTTCTCTGAAAGTGATCGGGGTCCTTGAGCGGCTGTGCGAGCATTTCCTTGGTAAACACGTCCGTAGTAGTGTAAAGGTTGCTATACCTCATGAAACCATGAACAAATATCACTATCCCCATCTTATCTTGAAGTGAACTCAGCTATTTACGACACATTTTAGACGCACCTACGTAGAGTATCACGCTAAGGATGACTTAATTTCCTGTTGTTGAGTTTCCTGGTTTCTACATTGTTAGAGCTGTGTTGGTGTTACACCGATAGATTACTATCATTCCTAATGATTCATCTCAAGACAATCTCCTTCCTGGATGGATGTAGACTAAAAGATGGACATGCTTCCCGTTCTTAAGTTTTGTTTTTGCGTCTTTTGGTTTTGTAAACCAGCTTCAAACAGCTGAAAATACAATTTTTGGTTATGGAAAATATATTTCACAGCGGTTTAGATTTTACAATGACTGCTTGATTTGTCACATAAACTGAAATTACGTGAACTATTCGAATTTTAGCAACCAGGAAACGGCAGAGTGATTTCTGCATAGTGCATCTAAGTACCTTACTGTGATTGTTTCCAATTTAAAATAGGGAAATATAGCTAGGACTGTCTGGGAGTGGTCTGAGTGGGGAGGGGAAAACTGAAAACTAGCTGTTATTGGCAGAGAGGTTTGGAACTGGCTTTCTTATTGGTCTAACTAATTTACCGCCTGGTGATGTCACCGGGCAGGCCAAAACTCCATCCCACCAAAAACAGCTCTTACAGTTAAAGGGCATTATCATTTTCACAAATTCACACTATTATTCCAACCTCATAATGTGGAAATCTATATAAAACACAAGATCACGTTTCTGACTGCACTGGGTCTTTTAACATTTGCTTGGGTCTTTTTTTTTTGTAGGTTGGTTTCATCGATCTATCACTAACAGTGGTTAAAGTGTACTTTTTTAAAATATTTTATTTTTATTTTTTCCACCACAGTTCAGTCGTGAGAGGTTCCTGTCTGTTCTTGTCTCCTCTGACGGCTTGGCCCTCTCTTGCCTCACTGCTCTCTTTCTGTATTCTTGCCCAAAACACGCCATGACCCAAACCAGCCACACCTCCAGAAGTTTGCTCTCGATGACATTCCTGACATCTCTATCATGCTAATTGAGATGACAGTCATTCCTTTCGACGGCTCTCCTGGCTCTCCTCACCAACCCTCCCTCTCTCTCCCTTTCCCCCCTCACTTTCTCATCCCTTCCCTCCTTGCCCTCCCCTTCCCTGGTTGAAGGGGGTCTACTGGAGCGCAGATCAAAGGAGCGGTGGACATCTGGGAGATTCCCTTACAGGTCACTGCCACAGTCCCAGCCTCTCATTAAACACTCTTATCCTCTCACTGAGCAGGGAGGGAGGGAGGGGGGAGGCTAGGGCGGGCGGACATATTTCCTGTGTCCGCTGAGCTGCCTGTGGCCTTCACACTTACCCTGCCATGCCCCGTGCTGCTGCTGAATGGATGGATGCTACTAGGCCTGTTCACCTCACTGTGACCGCTGCCTGGTGTCTCTTTACTGTCATCCTTTTAAGGTAGCTGAGAGATTCTCCTAGGACTGCCTGCTTGGCCTTACTAAATCCTAGGCCACTAACTACAATTACAGCATGTACGTCAAATGTGCGTGTGTGTCTCCGTGGTCAGATAAAGTTGTTTAATTTGGTCTGTGTATTGAACATAGGAGCTGCAGGTGTTTACGACTCCACTATTGACACAACATATAGGCTAATTGGCAGTTGACATTAAGCAATAATGCGCTACTATTGACACACAACAGTCCACATTTGCACAACAGTGTGTCCTCACTGTCCTGAGTGTTGACATGCTGGTCTGTAGGCTGAATGTGGCCCTATCCTGCTGTACTGCTGTAGTTGTACCTCTCCTCCCAGCCTGGCTCATTCCTCGGGTCTTGGCTTGTAACAGCATCTGGCCCTAGTCAGGTCACTGAAAGGGTTAACAGCGCAGTAGAGCCCCCTTGCTCAGTGAAACCCAACCTGGCCTCTCACAAAGACAGGAAGCCACATAAATAAATCAACAAATAAACACTGCCTCCCTCTGCTGGAAGTTCCTACGGTGCGTACAAAGTCCAAAATACACCCCCGGTATTTACTCTATCTGTTCTAGCCCCCTGTGGCAGGAGACTTCAAAAGAAAGGCCAGTAACAACAGACTGCAGCACGAACACTTCTAGGTCGCTACTTCTCTTTAGGCAGTGCTTCCTATAGTTGAGTCAACCTGACCTGAGGACAACTCTCAAAGTGTGCACTTGTTCACTTCCCTTCATGGATTTGAAAGAAAATGCCTGTTTTATAAGAAATTGCGGGAAACTCCCACCAGCCCATGCCTCTCAATCCAACGCTTTTATGTTTATGGGGTGTAGTGAACTAGTGCACACCTCAGGAGGAAGGAGAGATTTATTGGGACACAATATGAGACTCTTCCCTGCTAGAGGTGTAGCCTACAGCCATCACATAACATGAGGTGTAGATCATGTGTGGGTCACTTTCATGTTGGAGGGCTTTGACACTGGTGTTACATTGTACCTTCATGCATCATATTCACACCTCAACCAAATCACATTCCCACTTTTCCTCCTCTCCTCATCTCTGTTTTTCTGGGCGACCATAAGAGAGCCCACTAGAGATGTGTCAGGATAAATTAGAGTTTATCAGACTATGTTTATCAGCTTCTGTTTACAGCAGTTTGCCCTAATGGTCACTTCTACTGACAAACTGAAACAACACTTTCTCACTGGATAAGAATCTGTACTCGAATTAGTTCCTCTTTTAGTGATGGCTTGTCAGCACACGAAGATAGGGAGGTTGTGTGTGTGTGTGTGTGTGTGTGTGTGTTAATGATCACCTGTCCAGACCTGACGGGGTAATGAGACCTCTGCACCAGGGCACGCTCTTTAAAGGCTTCTGTAATAGATGGGCCGAGCCAGGGAGGGAGCCAGTCGCAGGGAACAGCCCAGGGCTTCTGTAATATAGGGGCCAGATCAGGGAGGGAGCCAGTCATAGGGAACAGCCCAGGGATCTACTACTCAACCATTTTAACTAATCTCTACCAGAAAGTCTGTGGGAAAATGGTTGAGGATAAGTGCTCACTACTTATGGTAGCTAGCTAGATTATGGCCATGCATAAATGTGGACTGGAGACCGGCATTATGTAGGTAGAATCATGGTCGGTAAAAGGCCTACAGCAATAAGAACATGCTGGCCGTCAAAAAATCAAATTCCCTTAAGGTTGTTTTTTGTGTTGCTGTATTACATTTATGGAATTGATCAGTGAGTAAAAAAATGGAAGACCATGGTGGAGTGGTGCGTCACTGTCTGGTAGAGCTGACCTTGAGAGAGTGCTGATATTGTACAAACAGCTGTTTATGCATTCAGCTGGAGAGTGGCTGTCGCTCTCTGTCTCCATCTCTCACTTTCTCTCTGCCTCTCTCTCTTTCTGCCTCTCTCTTTGTTGCAGAGGCTGAACACTGGGGAAAACTAACCCTGGTAGCACTTTTGCATTTTATTGCAACCTCATCTCACCCCACTAACCCCCACCAGTGCTCTCTGGATGTGCTGATGTTCTGCATGGTTCTCTAGCTACACTACATGACCAAAAGTATGTGGACACCTGCTCGTCGAACATCTCATTCCAAAACCATGGGCATTAATATGGAGTTAGTCCCTCCCTTTGCTGCTATAACAGCCTCCACTCTTCAGGGAAGGCTTTCCACTAATGTTGGAACATTGCTGCGGGAACTTGCTTCCATTCAGCCACGAGAATTAGCGAGGTTGGGCGATTAGGCCTGTCATTTCAATTCATCCCAAAGGTGTTTGATGGGGTTGAGGTCAGGGCTCTGTGCAGGCCAGAAGTTCTTCCACAACGATCTCTACAAACCATTTCTGTATGGACCTCGCTTTGTGCACAGGGGCATTGTGATGCTGAAACAGGAAAGGGCCTTCCTCAAACTGTTGCCACAAAGTTGGGAGCACAGAATCGTCTAGAATGTCATTGTATGCTGTAGCGTTAAGATTTCCGTTCACTGGAAATAAGGGGCCTAGCCCGAACCATGAAACAGCCCCTGACCATTATTCCTCCTCCACCAAACTTTACAGTTGCACTATGCATTGGGGCAGATAGCGTTCTCCTGGCATCAGCCAAACCCAGATTCATCTGTCGGACTGCCAGATGGTGAAGCGTGATTCATCACTCCAGAGAACGCGTTTCCACTGCTCCAGGGTCCAATGGTGGCGAGCTTTACACCACTCCAGCCGACGCTTGGCGTTGCGCATCGTGATCTCGGCCATGGAAACCCATTTCATGAAAACGCTATTAAGTCCTAGCAGTCAACTAGAGAAATAGTTTGGCGTGTGGTGCTGGTGGGCAGGCACAATGAGCTACCTGTTCCAACGTTTTTGAACAGAGTGGCTATTATGCGACTACTGCGTGAGACAATGGGCACCTCACAGACCTCTAGTGCCTTGGCCAGCAGGCAGACCTAGCTAATTGAGCCGTAGCCTAAGAATAGGTGGCCTTGTGTCAGCCAAGGCGTTGATGACTGACTCCCAGACCTGCCTGCCTGCTACCTTCCACCCCCTCGCTGTACTCACTCAGAGGGGGACGACACACACCTCTGCTGTCGCCTCTGACGAAATCCTCACAGGAGTTCCATAATGATGATGATGACAACTTCATAATCAGTAGCATGGGAGCTTCCTCTCTGTTCACTGGTTTCCTTACCTCTGTGACAGTTGAGAACACACACAGTATCATCCCCCCCCCGGCCTGGTCCATGTCCCTGACTGGGCCTGTCAGCCGTTGTCCATTAGGCCATATTAGTTTCTGTCATACACACACGGTCGGTGCGTAGCTGCTAGCAGACGTGCCACTGATTACCCGCTACGCTCCCAGAGCTAAGCTGGCCCTGCTGCATGTTGATGCCTGCCTTGTTTTCTGACTGGGAGACAGCGTGTTACTGACTGTGTGAGTGTTGAGCCTATCTCATTATTTCTAGTGTGCAGCCGCCAGCCACACTTTAAATGTTTAGTGTGTCACAAAAGCAAATGTTTGATTAGGGAGCTGCGTGCGTTGTCAGGGAAGGTGTCTGTCAGAAGGAAGAAATGGGTGTGTAGGTCGGCTATGTAGGTTGTCTGTTCTTGCGACTCCCTTACACCATGCTCTGGGAGTGCTGGTCGTGGATCGGTTGCTGCGCAAAACATTGTTTGTCCCCTTGTCTAAACCTGGGCTATCCAGCTACTCACATTACCCTTAGTTAACCCTTAAGGCTCGCCCTGACCCAAGACCAAGTGACCGTGCTGTTGTCAGGGAGTGGTCAGTCAACAGAAGGGTAGAACTCTCGAGTTTTGGGTGTCCAGGCAGTTGAGCATGTTTCCTATGGGGCTGGCTATTACCAGCTTGTATGTACCTTACCCGACCCCTCGAAGTACTTGGAAGAACACATGGGCTTTTATTTCCAACAACAAACTGGCATGGCCCGCTTTGCCCGTTGGTGTCAGTTTTGAGACTGAGGAAGATTTAATCCACTGTCTGTTCAATCCTTCCTGATAAGACCCTGTGTCCTTACAACAGAATGTTAGGGTAGACGCCACCCCTCTAAACCATACCTGCCAAAAGCAAGAATTTCTACATGATTTTAACGTTTAAATATAAAATCATTTTATTGTCTCCATGCCCAATCCCTACGTTAAAAATAAATGTCCTTGTACACAGCTTAGGAATGCTAGCTTATTCCAAAGTAGTAAAACCAAAGTTGAACAGCAAGAAGAATAGTACAAGATTTTAAGGGGTATGTCATAGTATGGGTTGCGGGGAGCGAGCAACCAGGCACATTTGTAAGTGTAGTTGTTGGTAATTCATTGTGAGTTTAATGTATTCATAGCGCAGCCACCTTACTGTTCAGGCCGTAAAAAGGAGTATGGGGCTGGTGCAGGGGAGTTGAAGGAGTAGTCCGTGTAGCCCATGAGTTGTGCTGTTTTGCGTCCTCTTGGATGGCTGGGGGCTGCAGGAGACTGGTTGATGCCATATGTCAGCTATTTCCTTAGTGGACCTGAGTGACGACTCCAGCCAGTACCTGTCCTGTGTCAACGCACACGATACGATGATGCTCTAGAGAGGACATAGAGCGGGGATACGCTGACACTGGAATAGCTTTGGGAAAAGCAGGTTATTTGAACGAAAGGCAGTCTCCGTGTGTCACAGTCTGAGTATGTTGTATAGAGGTCATCCTGTGTTATCTTGCTAGGGAGCTTTGCCCCAGTGATGTTCTAGTGTATACTGCACTACCCTCTGTATGCCTTGGGATCATGCACAGAGTTGTACCATACCAGGCGGTTGATGCAACACAGTCGGATGCTCTCGATGGTGCAGCTGTAGCTTTTTTGAGGATCTGAGGAGCCCATGCCATCTTTTTAGTCTCCTGAGGGGGAATAGGCTTTGTGTCATATAGGCTATTGGTGTCTAGCTAGAGTAATTAGACAGAGTAAACCAGGTCACATTCTATGTTCAAGTTAGTTTATGTTGTGTTGGTAATTATCAACTGTGTTGATTTTAGCCATTTTGTTTGCATGTTAATGGTACTGTGCTGTGCCACATCCCTGCTCTGTTACGGAGGCCAGTAGCTAGCTACACCGTGTGGGAGCATGGTTTGCAGGGGATGTTTGTTTGTGTGTCAGCCCTCCTCCCCTGTCCCTGTGAGTCCCGGTCTCGCTCAGGCAAGGGTGTGATGGGCTGGAAGGCAGGGAGGGGGCTGAAGGGACTCATTATATACATGCTGCTAAATGGGCCCTTTGTGTGGCAGCCCGGCAGAATGGGGAGAGAGGCAGGTCCAGGCCCCACACCCTGTCATAATGTTGTCATACTGCAACACATATCGTAACACCCTGCCGGGCCATGCCTATCCTAGGGGGAGGGAGGGGAGGCGGGGAGGGATGATCGACTGATTCAAACTTGGGGTTGGGAAACAAGGCTTTTGGGGAGAAGGAGGTGATAGGGGAGGTGGTTAACAGAAGTTAAAAGGGGGGGGCGAGTGGGGGAGGTCAAAGATGTGTGTTCAAACGGTAGCTCAGAGAGGTTGAATGGCGCCATGTTGGGTCTCGTTGACTCTGGACAAGAAGAGCAAGGGTTAGTGTCCTCCATCTCTACTGTTTGACCCACTCAGGAATTGGTGTGTTTTACTGTTGGTGTGTATTACAGAAGCTATGTTCCAGTCTACTACACACACGGAGCCAAGAACCACAAGTGCTGCTCTTATGATACAATTTCTGACTGCTAAAGAATAGCCCAGTCAGAAAGGAACACCATTTAGCTCACATTTCAGATGCTTGCCTAGTTGCCTTCTCTGTGAGTTTGGGGAGAACATTTTTAACCCTCCACTAATGAATAGTGTGTGCCACAAGTTTTCAAAATAAGTAGATTCAAAACACGTGTTTTCCAATGACTGTTTCTCACTAGAAAGAAAGTGCCTCGTGACATAATGTAGCGGGGATAAAACACACATCTTTTTTTATCTTGGGTGCTGGTGTAGTTTTTAATAATGTGTACATTTAGCCTGGTCCCAGATCTGTTTGCTCTCAAGTCAACTCCTTGTCATGAGTCCTTTTAAAGAATGTGTCACTGAACACAGAAACATATTTGTCATGACAGTTAGTTAGTTAACATGATGGGACAAACAGATAGGCCTATGTGACCAGGATAACGTATACTACAGTATATCAACCTTACAACTCACTATCCCCTGAAGTACTCCGGTAAATACTTACTGGAGTAGGAGTGCGGAAATGGGATCAGTTTTACCTTTTTAAATCATAATGAATGCGATTATATGGACAGGGGACCTGATCCTACATCAGCACTTCTACTCAGAATTACATCAACCAATCACGGTGCACTTCCTGCCACGTGTAGCCTACTGTCTGAGGAACTGCAGCCCCCCTGTTCCTGTTTCTGTTTGTTTGTTCCTTTGTCTATTTTTTATTATTTTACTAGGTAAGTTGACTGAGAATACATTCTCATTTACAGCAGTGACCTGGGGAATAGATAGTGGAGAGGAGCAGGGATGAATGAGCCAATTTATTTTTAGACCAGAGGAAAGAGTGCCTCCTACTGGCCCTCCAACACAACTCTGTGAGGTCACACCACTCTGTGACCTCGCTTCCGCCCTCTCTGACCTCACTTCCTGTCTGTCTCTCCAGACGTTCACGGCCTGGTGCAACTCCCACCTGAGGAAAGCAGGCACGCAGATCGAAAACATCGAGGTGGACTTTAGGGATGGCCTCAAACTCATGCTCCTGCTGGAGGTCATCTCAGGTGAGCCAGCCCATTGACTTGATCATCATGACACATACAGAGAGCTACTACCACAGCTAAGCGCTAATCTACTTTACTGCACTCTACTGTAGCAGGTTGCAGAGCTGCAACTTACTGTGACGGTGAACTGATTGAATTGTGCACTAACCAGAGGCTGGGTCCCAAATGGCACCATATCCCCTATAAAATGCACTACCTTTGACCAGGGCTTTGGTCAAAAGTAGTGCACTATGTAGGGAATAGAGTACCATTTGGGTACACCCGAATGCGGTGCCAGAGAAGGACTCTCTTTAAAGTATTAGTGTCTCCTGTTCTTTTGATACCTTTTGAACTAAGTAGTCTGGTCATAGGCCATGGTTTTGGCCCTGTAGAAGATGTTGTCTGTTTTGACTGGCCTTGTGTTGTGAAGGTTGATACTGTGACTTTAAAAGGAGCTGTGCCTGTCTTCTGCTGAGCCAGTGGAAAGAGCTGTTTTTGTCATGGGACTCTCTGGGCTCACTGCATTTTGTTTGCCTGTATGTTTCTCTCTGTGTGTGTGTGTGTGTGTGTGTGTGTGTTCATCCACAGGGGAACGGTTACCTAAGCCCGAGAGAGGCAAGATGAGGGTCCACAAGATCAACAACGTCAACAAAGCGCTGGACTACATCGCCGGCAAGGGGGTCAAGCTGGTGTCCATTGGCGCAGAGGGTCAGTTTACCTACCACAAGCACTCTGCACCAACACACACACACAGACAGAGAGCACTGACAAACAACTCCAAAGCTCACAGCATCCTGCCAAGTACATCTCCCACTTGGGAGCAAAGGCATTTGGCTGGAGAGGGAGGGAGGGCGCTCTGGGGGAGGGGGCAAGAGGCCCTTCACAAGGCCAGTAAATCAGGAGGAGAAACGACCTTGTAGTCCGACTCTGACGGTGACAATGACCTTCCTGCTCCAGCTGTCATGGCAAATGGCCCCACCAGCCTCCACCCCTCATTCCTACTGCATGATACACACAGCCCAGTTGTCAAACAGATCTGGGACCAGGCTAATGCATAACTGAGTTGATATTTTATTGTATTTATGAGTGATTTTCTCTCTTAGAAATTGTGGATGGCAACGCCAAGATGACCCTGGGAATGATCTGGACAATCATCCTCCGCTTCGCCATCCAGGACATCTCTGTGGAAGGTCAGTCTCTCTCCTTTCATCGCTCTCTCGCTCTCTCTCTCTCTCTCTCTCTCTCTCTCCCCCCCCTCCCCCCAATAGGCAGCTACTAAGGTTGCTTTAGAAAACAACTTTCCTTTATGTTCTTCCTCTATTTCCAATGAGAAACTCATCTGAAAACGATATAACTGGTTAAATCACCCCTCATATTCAAAGGGATCCATTGCTGCTCTATGTTCTTATGCCAGTAACAGAGCAGGCATTTTCCCCTTCCACACACACACTCCTACTCAAAACACAGCTGTGCTGAGGGGATTCCACAGGGAAGTGAAGTGGAAGCAACTGGGTATCTCAGATGCAATGCCCCCGCACACACACAAACTAAAAACACCTCCCCTGTTCTGTTCTGTTCTGCTGAGACCACAGGGGGTTGAGTGAGCCTAGCCAAGTGAATACAATTATGGCCTACATGCCTGCTCTGTTCTCACTGGCACTTGACTAAGACACAATGGCAGGAGAGATCGTTAGCCCTAGCTTCCCCAGCTCCGCTGTACTGCACTCATCTGTGACCGGGAGAGACGTTAAACACGTTAGCTATCTATACTGTACTCTCAAACACAGTGAAATTAGGTCTAGGCTGCGTCTGACTCTGAAATGTCACCCTATTTCTATAGGGCTCTAGTCAAAAGTAGTGCACTATATAGGGAATAGGGTGCCATTTTGTACATACATAGATCCCTCAAATTCTAATTTGGACTTCGAAGCCAGTTCCACTGCCTTTTTTCATTGTTCCCCTCTAATCAGGTACTGATGTAGACCTGGGACACCAGGTGGGTGCAATTCATGATCAGGTAGAACAGAACCAGCAGTACTCTGTACTCTGGACCTCCAGGTTAGGACTTGAATATCCCTGCCATAGACTGTTATCTAACTCTCCTTCTCCCCTTTCCAGAGACCTCTGCCAAGGAGGGCCTGCTCCTGTGGTGCCAGAGGAAGACTGCGCCCTACAAAAACGTAAACGTGCAGAACTTCCACATCAGGTAGCCTACGTGTGTACACACACACACACACACACACACACACACACACACAGCCTCGACAGCAGCTAGACGTCATGCCTGACTACAGAACCTGAGACCGGAACAGGCTATAGTAATTCTCCACAGACATTCTTGTTTGACCTCTATAAAATTCCACAGTAGTGAAGCCTGTTCAAACATTGCATCACTCACACACTCCAGCAAAACTCCACCAGCTCTTCTAGAAAGGCTACCCTCTGCTGGTGAAACGTAGGCTAGACGTTAGTAGTATGTGCATAACCTATGGATGTGCTGCATGGAACTGTCCCTTTCTTTTTTGGGGGTATTTTATTCAAGCAAAAAAAGAAAATATAACTTTTTCTCCCAAATTTCGTCATATCCAATTACGATCTTGTCTCATCGCTGCAACTCCCCAACGGGCTCGGGAGAGGTGAAGGTCGAGACATGCGTTCTCCGAAACATGTCCCGCCAAACCGCTCTCCTTAACACCCTCCAGCTTAACCCGGAAGCCAGCCGCACCAATGTGTCGGAGGAAACACCATTCAACTGACGATCGAAGTCAGCCTGCAGGCGCCCGGCCCGCAACAAGGAGTCGCTAGAGCGCGATGAGCCAAGTAAAGTCGCCCCCCCGGCCAAACACTCCCCTAACCCGAACAAAGCTGGGCCAATTGTTCCGCCGCCCTATGGGACTCCCAGTCATGGCCGGTTGTAACACAGCCTGGGATCGAACCTGGGTCTGTAGTGACGCCTCAAGCACTGCGTTGCCGTGCCTTAGACCGCTGTGCCACTCTTGAGGCCACAGAACTGTTTCTTTCTGACCTCTCTCTCTCTCTGATCTCTTGCTCTCTCTGATCTCTTGCTCTCTCTGATCTCTTGCTCTCTCTGATCTCTTGCTCTCATATTGACAGCTGGAAGGATGGCCTTGCCTTCAACGCTCTGATCCACAGACACAGGCCAGAGCTCATTGACTACGACAAGCTAAGGAAGGTGAGTGGATCAACACATACTCCGTCAGCACACACTCCCACATCTCGCTTTGAGTGCATGACACGTCCGTCACTTCTTTTCTCACCCTCTGATTGGTTGCTCAGGATGACCCCTTGACCAACCTGAACAATGCCTTTGAGGTGGCTGAGAAGTACCTGGACATTCCCAAGATGATGGACGCAGAAGGTATGCATGGGGCACAGTTACTACTCTGTGTGTGTGTGTGTGACTGTAGTGCGTTTCTGCATATTCATACTGTATTGTATTAATTCATCTGACTGCTCTTTCATCCCAACACTCCGTGACTCCAGTGTGCAGGTGGATGTGTTGTGACACCACGGCTGCTGTGGTCACCCTTACAAACAGACCCTTAGCCTCTGCCCCCCATGTCCCCTCAGCTCCCCTCCTTCCTCTCCTTCCCATCATCCCGCTCACCGTTGTTGCTGTTGGATTGTCCATCCCCTATTTCCCTTGTCTGTGTGTTCGCAATTCTATCCTCCAGTGTGTATACCTGTTGTGAAGTGTTTGTGTGTGTGTCTCCCTCTACGTGTATAACTATCCCTGTCTCTGTCCGCCTGTATGTGTGTAACTGTGGTTTCCCTACAGACATTGTGAACACTGCCCGTCCGGATGAGAAAGCCATAATGACCTATGTGTCCAGTTTCTACCATGCCTTCTCTGGAGCCCAGAAGGTACCCCTTCCCCATCCCACCTTACCCAACCCGCCCCCCTGCCCCTCCACATCTACCCCCACCCTTTGCTCCTCTCCTCTCTAGCATGGCTTTATCCTGCAGCATTGATATCGGCCTCACCGGAAACTGGTTTGGGACACTCCTTCCTCACACACACGCTACACACACTAAGTCTTAAAGTCTCTGAATCTTAATGTCTTGCTGGTAATAACAGGGCCATATTGTTCCTGTGTAGTGGCCTGTCTGTGTATAGTGATTCAGTTGGAGTGGATCAGGCCTCAGGGGCCCTTGGTAGTTAAATGAATCATATAAAATCAGACAGTGATCCCAATCAGCCCTGGGTCAGTTTGTGTCTGAGCAGAGAGTGGGCTAGTCAGAGGGACTCTTGAGAACTCTTTATAGATGTTTTATCTGTTTGTGATTTCACCCTCCACCACAACCCCTCTAGCTCTCTGTCTGCTGTTTTCATCCTCTGTTGCCTTTTCTCTCTCCCCGCCCTCTTATTCCCCTCCTCTCTTCCTCCCCCTCCTCTCTTTCCCCTCCTCTTTTCCCTCCTCTCTTCCTCCCCCTCCTCTCTTCCTCCCCCTCTCTTTCCTCTCCTCTTTTCCCTCCTCTCTTCCTCCCCCTCCTCTCTTTCCTCTCCTCGTTTCCCTTCTCTCTTCCTCCCCCTCCTCTCTTTCCTCTCCCTCTCTCCTGTTTCACTCTCCCCCTCTCCCTGTGGACTGAGAACAGGAAGCCTGCCGATGGGGATGTTTTTTTGACTGCGCTGTATTTTTTTTATTAATTTAAGAAGTTGTTTATGAGCTCCAGTCTCAGGGGAGGTGCGCGTGCAGAACTGTTGTTTGCCACAGTCCCACTGTTGCCTACACTACAGAACACCACAGTAAGCTGCCAGTGAGCCCATGCTGGGTTACATGCAGGCCTTTGGGCAATCATTGTTCATTTTGGAAGATAATCATTAATACAGAGAAGGAAAGGACATTGGATAGACTAGTGTACCCTTTCTCTTTTAGTTTTAGGACTAGGAGGATATTTTCTGCTATTACCAGCTTGACAGTTGAAATATTATAATCCACATAGAGCTGATTTAAACATGGTGTGTGTGTGTGTCCCAACCTCCGCATCGTGGCCCCGGCAGACCCCTCCTGTCTCCCGAGGCGGACTCTCTCTCTCTCTGTCACACTTTCTCTCTCTTTTTCCTGGTTACCATGGTAACACCACAGCGACCCAACCCCTCCAGTGCATCATTGGAGGCCCCAGAGTAGGGGGCAGCAGCAATGGACTCCCCTCCCCTCACTACCCCCCCCACCTCGCTGTGTGGCGGGACACTCTGGCTTTGGGTAACTTGGCTTCACCACTTCTCTCTCTCTCTCTACCTCCCTCCGCTCACTGCCTGGCCATGGTTGTGTAGACATCGTGGGCACGCTGAGGCCTGACGAGAAGGCCATCATGACCTATGTCTCCTGCTTCTATCACGCCTTCTCTGGCGCCCAGAAGGTGAGCACCGCCACTATGTAACCTTTAACCCATGACCTCTGTGACACCAGCCAGGATCACTGGCAATGTCACACTGGCCAATGATGCTCACTGACGCTTTGGGCTCACAGTACACCTCTACGAAACAACAAACACACGCTCCTCCTTACTCTCCAACTGCCCTATTTCAACTCTGACCCCATAGACTGATCATTAGCAGTGTTTCCCATAGCTACAGTTAAGGCATTACTCTAACAAAGCAGTTATAAAATGTATAGTCTAAAGTGGGATGAAATAAGCTTCCACTGATTTGTGGGAAGCACTGTTAACGACGGTTCAAATGTCAAACTATTAACACTACAACTGTTTCAATGTGTATAATGTGTTTTTATATAGAGATTACTCCATAGTGTGTTATTGGAAGTTCCTAGGCCAAGGCATAATACAGTTTCTTACTGTTTCTTTATTTCAGTGGTTTAAGTTTAAGTCCCTAAACACACCAGCTGATGTGGACAAAAGCGGTACAGAACCAGTGACTGAATGCTCCCATTGTACAGGAGAAGCATGTAGCTTTTTGAGGCACAGAGTGTGAAGTTGGCACACAGAGTACATTTAACTAACCATTGTCAGCTGTAGCATGCTGCATTAGCCTATACCCTTACTACTGTACAGCCATCCAATGGATTTGTGTGTGCACGGTGTTTAAATAATCTGTGAGTGCAAGTCACGGCTTGTGTGTGGTTTTTGTGTGTTCACTCAGTTTACTGAGTTGTTCATAGCTAAAAACTAGAAATGACACTCCGTCTAGTTAGTTTAAAGTCTAACTCGAGTTGAGTAAGGCCAGCACATAGTACCTTCAGTTTGAGCTTGTACTGCAGTTGTGTTTGTCTTCGACTGGTAGAAAGCTGATCTGAATTT